CAACAGTCTGACTCCAAAGACACGAGCAGAAATGCGACCTCAATTCCAGGCCTTTTGCCGCGCTCTGCACCTCGACCCCGCCTCGTCTACTATCCTCGACGACCTCCGCGCAGTTCCCGCAGAGACCATTTGCCGCACCATCGAAAGCAAAGCAGCTGGACCAAACAACAGCACCTTCCGTGGATGCGTGGACGAAGACTGGCTGGCCTCAACAACCGATACGATGGCATGGCAGCGCTCCGGAGCCTTCGCCCAAGCCCTGAAGCAAAAGGGCGTCCGTAGCGTCATCGTCGGGGACGTAACAGACGAATGGTACTTCTACTCCACCTCGTCCGTCATCGAGAAATCCGCGGATATCGTTCCCAACTTGGAGAGGTACTACCAGGATGATATCGCGGAGAAGATTATGGGGCAGTACGAGACGCTGGGAGATGATGCCACCCCGGAGGAGTGCGCAAAGATGTTTGGAAGGATGACTTCTGATTACCAGGTCCATTTGCCGGTGAGGATCCTCGCGAGGGACTTGCACGATGCGGGGTTCCCTGTGCTGAGGTATGAAATTCGATGGACGCCAGAGCAGAATAGGACGGACGGTGAGTGACTCTGTGCAGTTGATTTATTGTGTACTGAGTATCGGTTGGAAGGATACGTCACTCATGGTACGGACACGTATTTGTGGCACCTTCGGCTGCCGTCACTGGAGCCTTCTCAAGTGGAGATTGCCAGATCGTGGATTAGACGCGTGGATGAAGAGAGGGTCGCCCTTGAATGTGCGGGCAAACCCTCGAGAGAGAATAACAAGGTTTTCGCTCTGTGTGAAGACGAGTCCATAAAATGGGTAGAGGACGATAAGTGGGCTGAGAAGATGAGGCTTCTTGTCACACTCCCAGGAGAGTGGATAAGTATGCACTCACAATCGAATTTTCTGTCCAAGTTTGTAGGTGTATAATACTGAAATATGACACGGCCTTGCAACAGCGTTTTACATCATAACGTTCCAGAAACTGTGCATACCGTGCGCAGTTAGTTATCGCGAGACTCGGACCGATGTCGCGTCGTCACTACCCAAAAGAGCCGACGCGACGCGACGCGTTGACAAAGCCACACGGTGGGAGGCTTCTTCCTCATCCACCACCGCCCCTGCATCAGACCCGTTCACTAATGCACTTAGTGCTACACCACGAAAATTTCAATATACATTGCTCCCTGAAGTTCTCGAGGTTCTCAGCCATGCGTCTCTCTTGTTTTTCATTCATTTCAGTTCCGGTGAGACTGCGAATTCATTTCATCTATCTGAATTTGTTATCAGGCGCCTATCGAACTGCGGGCCTGCATCTTGCTCACTACGTCTGTGTCAGCCCCTTCCTTCTATGCTGAAACTGTTCACTAGTGGTGGTTTCGATCTATTGATCATGTTCACTTCTCTTTAGTGTCGGTACCTTGACAGATTAGCGCCCGCCTATAGCCTTCGTCTACTGGTCCAGCGGATTCGGTCGGTAAACCATCATTTAATATCATAGGTGGCTTGTTCTCTGGTGTCATCATCACCTCTCGGCGCCATTGATCATTGATACATCGAAGACCTCCTATCACATGTGGTTATTCATTCACAGACCCATCACCCGCTCGTTAGCGCTCGACAATGCTCGATTCCATATGAAGGCGATCCTATTCTAGTCTTTGATACGACCGAGGAATACGGGAGCTCTAAGTTAATCTCAAGTTTGATTTTTGGTCAAGGAATAGGCCTACCCTGCGCCAGATGGGTATTTAGGTAGTCTTTTTCTGTACCATTCGTGAATATCAGCATTCGTGCAACGTGATGTTGCAGAATCTTGATATGCTGAGTCGCAAAACGTGACAAATTTTCATAAGATGGACTCTTTTCGTGCCTATCTTTTCCAGGGTTCGATGGGTGTAGGCCAACAATTGGTGCCCGATAGACACCAGGTGACTACAAATGCAAGTTTCATAAAACAGGCGCCAAAGTGGGGCGCAGTGTATAAACCTGTGTCCCAGAACTTTTTTTGCTGGTCCTTCGTCCCCTCATCAGCCTTCCGAGCCTTAGATTTATTGCGTTGTAACACATTCTCCATTTCTCTGGACTCCCGACGGGTTTAATCACTGGGTCCGTTTCTTTCTTGGGAAAGCGTTCACCCTTAATAATCAACAGTCTATCGGCCACCAGCCGCCAACTAATTTACAAATTCCATTGTTGTTTTCGTGATGACCTATTGACCTAATGGCAGCAAAATCTACCTTCGCGAAATGGGCGCCTATCTTGTACCTCCTCATGACAATAACTCAGGCGCTGACCATAAACATCCCTCGTGTGTCTCTCTTTTCTCTTCCAGCAGGTGAGCCCCTTATATTCCGCCACTATTTCAGCTTTTTTTACTCACAGACATGCACATGTAGCCACATTAATGACACGAATACTTTTCTGACTGCACCTCACCTCACCGACGAATGCAGGATGAGTATCGAGTATCAGGATCACGACCACGCAGGCGGCGATTACCTTCATGGTACCCCACTTTGCGAGGTATCTCCTGTCGTTCAGGTAAGAATTATCACTGAACGCTTCACAAAGTCTGCCTCGTAATAAACAAATCTTGCATCTAGCTAGAACCCAGAACAATGCCGGACGCACGTCTGGCAGACCACATCAGAAATTCCAAACCTTCGGGACGGAAGAGGGCACTCTGTGTAAGCGCCTCTTTCTTCATGGAATAATCTAAGTGTCAATGCTGAATATACTTCCCTTAGATCGGTATCAACTACGGCGGTAAAGTCAACAAACTCCGAGGCTGTATAAAAGATGCCACGGACATTCGCGGCTTCTTGATGCGTAAGTGCCTTTTGCTCTCATTCAATTATGAAAATAGGGTACTGGAACACTCCTTTTCTCAGGAAAAGGCTATAATGAGAATGATATCAAAATGCTTACGGAAGAGACGGAAGATAAACCCACGAGAAAGAATATATTGGATGCAATGTCCTGGCTTGTTGAGGGAGCCCAGTCGGACGATTCGTTGTTTCTTCATTGTACGCTTCACCGCTTCCTTTGCATTTGTTTCTGATGTTTTCACTTTACACTCACACTCTGGGCACGGAAGCCAGATCGCCGACAAGAATGGTGACGAGGTCGACGGAAAAGACGAAGGTTTTCATACCGAACTATTTCTATCCACTGAGCAATCCACTGAGTAAATACTTTTGCAGACATTGAGTGCATCGACTCGTCTATTATTATTGACGATGTAAGTTCATATATCATTCATTCGCCCTCGGCGCATCGACTCTTTTGCGACTCAGGAAATGCACAACATACTCAAGTCTCTGCCTTCTGGTTGCCGGCTTACGGTACGCTTCTTCGAGCTGCGTGTTTTTATCAAGTATCTGACACCACCCATATTATGCTAGGCTTTGTTCGACGTAAGGAAATACAAATATCTTATTTCTCCCTGGTTACTTTGATTGCATAAAGCTGCCACTCCGGGACAGTTTTGGGTAAGCGCATCATGTCCCAATTAAATTGTCCGTTTATTCTATTTTGTTCAGGCTAGATCTACCCTACGTTGTGATTATCTCGTCTTTCGGACTCCTCGACGCCTAATCCGATCGGCTTGCTTTAGTATAATTGCCTTGGTCAACACTATTGGGCAACCAAGGCGTTGGTGTCGGATATTTTAGCGGATGTGGTAAATGTCGAGATTCATGTTACTATAAGACGACCGATAAGGATTGCAGATATGCTGGTCTGGCGCCAAGGATGACCAGGAAAACGCCGAAACGCCCCAAGGAGGCATCATGACCTGTGCAAGTGGTTAATATAGTTTGCATTTTGACGCGGGCTCGAATTTCAGTGTAGGCATTCATCGAGTCGCTAGAGGAGAAACCTGTGCAGTCGTACCAAGAACTTCTCCACTCCATCAGGTCAGCTTTTCCCCCATCCGTGGCCAAAGTTGCTCTTATTTTCTTTTGTTCAGGATGACGATTTCAACATAAGTGTTATAAACAGATTCTGCAGCTGGGAACTTCTCGTCCAATGGTGAGAATTTCTTTGTGTCATCCATTTACCGAATGATTCGAATATTTCCTGGTCGTTTTTGGTGCGCAGAACCCTATGCGGGAGTTTATTTTATGAACGTATCACGACGTTCCAAAATTGCTTGAAATATTAATGTGTATTTTGTGGTAAAATACTACCCTGTAGCTGGTTGCGATTGCTGGAAGGGGGGATCATGGAGCCGGGAGTATTTTGCGTAAATCTGGTACGGTCATCGTTTGAGGTTCAAGAAAACAATCCTTTGGTTTTTTTTTAACCCTGGAACTCGGGAGACATAGGTATGCATCGAGAGCTGTCTAGATGTCTTTGGTGGAGTGGGTAATTGTACAGAGTCCAAGTTCCCGGTATCAAACCAATAAATGTGACCACTGACTACCTATTAGATAGTCCAAGGAAAGGTAATTCGGTCGTCATAGAGTGCACTCTTTTTTCAGATATGGTAGCGATGCAAAAGAAAGGCAAGCTAAGTGTTCCCGGTCAATATATCTGCTGTGGTGAGAGTGTATTCAGTGCTGAACGGAACGTTTAATCCCACTTGTGTGTACGCATCCGACGTGGAGAGAGCTGTGGTTGTGATTGATCGGTCACTGTTTCGGCCATCTACTGCAGGACTCGGACATGGCACGCGGATGCACTGGGTATGACCAACTAGTTGTTGATGCCTGAAAAGAATGCGTCGCATTTGTAATTTGTAGAAAAAGGTGAGACTTTGAATAGGGTAGAAGAATCTGGACAGATTAAAATCCGCGTTAGTAGTGTCAATGACTCGCAATAGGATATCATTGAATAGAATTTATAACGTCACGTGCCACGCCAACAAATGCCACGTTTTCGGTCATTTCTCCTCCCTTCGGAACGACCGGATTTCGAATTTGCTCGGATATCTGGGACTTTGAAATGGAATTAACAATATCCGCTGTGATGCCATGGCGAAATGGCCGAGTGGTTAAGGCGCCAGACTAAGGAATGGCGATTTCCAAGGAAATGAGGACCAAGACAGTCTCTGTCTAATTGGATTATCTGGTCCGAAAGGGCGTGGGTTCGAGTCCCACTTTCGTCATAGTTTTGCTATCCTACGATGCTCTATTCTTGCCTTTTTTGCCCCCAGATGCCTCCCGTATTGATCCCAGGCCAGAGAGATCACCGAAAGTGAGCCACACATGAAAGTGGAACTAAGTAGCCAGTGAAGAAGACATGAGAAGATCAGTGTGCCTCATTTATTACCAACAAGTCATCTAATCAGGTTGTTGCCTACTACCACCATGAAGAAAATATGACAGAAATATACATCACTATAGGTATCTGGTAAGCAATCAAAGGACAACAAGATAATGGACAACAAATGGCAAGGGAGTGTGGGTGGACCTATAAATTTAGCTCAAAGAGTACAGAGTCCCAAGCCTTCTGTCATTGACCTTTCATTACACTTGGGCTTTCCGGGCTTCCGAGGCTTCCCACCTCAATTTGACCCACAGCCTCCACTGCTTGGAGTCTACCCTCCGTGGGGAATGTATCTGAGAGCGGGATGAGATATTTTGCTATGTCGCTAGTGTGGAAACTTGCATACCCTTGTCTTGACATGAACTGACTGGCTAGCGTTTAGTACGACTGGGGATGAACAAATTATCAAGTCGCAAACCTCGATGACAATTCTCTGTGAAATTTGCCATGAGCACCAATGGCAGATAGACAACGAAACAATACGTCCGCGCAGATGCAGAAATGCCTCGAAGGTATCTGAAGGTGTTGATGGTGTAGTAAAGAGATACTCATCTCATGTGCCGTCTTCTATACAATGGCGCGTATCAATTTAATGGATATTCAACTGTTCGCTGGAATGTATGTACAAGTGGGATCCCACCGTTCAACAAAATGCCAATGTTTCAGCGTACATTGAACAAGTCAGAATCTACACATCGAAATCAGAGAGCTATTCACTGAATCGGATGCACGTAGAACATGTATCATCACGTAGCGTGCGCATGAGACTGATGGCGCTGATATCAGTACAAGTGATGCTGACGACTTCCCGTCATTCTGCGCTTCATGAGACGGAAATACTAGGAAACGGGGGGATCCTTGATGGCGACGCCGACAGAGTACGTAGGGCACCAAGGAAATACAGAAGCAGATCTGATACCATCAAAGGGAGGGATCCTAGTATGAAAATCTCTCATGATGGGCAGGGCAATTTTGTCAGTATCCTCTCCCAAAATGTCGTGTGAACATATTTTGTCATAAATACTTTCACCAGCTGTCGTCAAGGCATTGGTGAGGTCAATAAAAAAGAATCCGTTTGTACAGACACAACGCAAGGCACAGGAAAGTGGATAGAAGCCACTGGGGAAGCTGATAATTTTCATGCCCTTGAGGGATGTTGCAAGATATCCCAGCGGATGAAGCCATCTAAGCGTGCGCGTGCTGATGGTGGTCTGCGAAGCTCACTCGAGACTTGCGGGCGGATTGCCGTACCAAATATGAATACCCTCTGCTTCCATACTATTATACCCGCGAGCAAAAGACGCTTCTTCGGCTCGATTCTTTCACATTTCACAGCCCTAGTCCACATGTTGTTCGCACGCACCATCCAACGTCCCGATCCGCACGTTGCCCTCTCCTAACTGTTTTTCCACTGCTCATGATACACAGTTATTTTACTTGATCTCTTTGTTTTTTTGCAGATGAACTTGGTACATGTCTCTGTCCATTTTTCCAAAACTGGATTTACTTGGTGGATCGGTTTGAGGACTGTTGAGCAGCTTGAATGACATGAAGCCTGCATTCTGACTCCAGGTGAGGCTGCTTGGACAAATTCGTTTCGCGTTTTTTCCTATTTTTCGTGTGGAGTTGCTGCCTCATTGTCCCGTAATGCACCTTTTCTAGAATTTTGTAGTCTTTACGAATGCTCGGCGCGTGGTATCATGTTCCTGTTCAACTTTTCTCGACTCAGAGGTTTTGACCGGCTTACCATGATTTCCTCAACATAAAGCTGGGACTGTATCTATGTGAGTTTTTTGACATTCTTTGGATCGATCGTCGCTTATGTACATTATGTAGTCCGGGATCATCAAATCTCAACTGATTAATTGGAATGACTATACCGCTCATTTCATAGGCATATTGAGAAGTAATGTCGAGACCAGACACAATAATGAAAGGTGGTATGTTCTGTTCTTCCCGCTGCAGTAGATCGTTGATATATAGAAGACGACAGAAGTAGGCCACATTTTTAGATGGCTCGCTTCCATTAATTAGATCATTGCTGTTGACGCAGGACAGATATAAGCTGAGCTCACGTCAACGCATCTATTCCACCTTCAACGGATGGACGAGTGTTGCGCCGAACAGGGATCAGCAACTGATTGTAACATCATTTCCTAGGTACAGCCCTGTCATCAATCTTCTTTGGTGATCCGTGAGATCTGCGTAAATGTCTAACTAGGCGCTTATTAGATTACGGCAGGATCGGCTTCAGACAAGGTCTGATACATATCATGATTCCCACAGGGCGGCCCCACGCGTCGGAGCGTGCCTTGCGCCTAAATCGGTGGGAATGCTATGTAACCGGCTCCTAGAAGGTTCATCGCCTTTGTTTTTCTTCATCTTCATCCACCATCCTTTACAAGCACCAGGTCAAGGATCAAGCAATTCTCCTCAATTGTGAGAGGCGTACCACACTTTGTGGTCGTCCAAATCTGGGAAGATGATATGGGATTTATCTGGAAGTAGAAGGGATTCCTGGGATTCATATTTCGAGATGCAATTTCCATTGTGAGTGCCAGAATTTATCTGGATAATGTATGCTTATCCTTTCACTAATTGCGCAGGCTTCAGACTGTGTGAGTTATCTTCAGTTCTCAGGTGTAATGCCGATGACCATCCAAATAACGTTCTCCTCTCCCTCTGGTGCTGTTCGCATTATAGCAAACTCTACAGCTTTCAACAACAGACGTTCTCCATAACTAGGTCATCAGATTACTACCTGTACTACGACCCTGTACATCTTTTGTGTTCTATCGAGTAAGTTGTTCAGACTGGTTTCGACATACTTCCTCCTTACCCTGAAACAGTTCAAGCTCCCAGTATGCACGCGATCATATGCTTGGATGAGGCTAACCCAGTTATTGAAGCTCTGTTCTGACGCGTAGCGGGTCGAAGGCTTTCTCCTACTACCCACGTCCACTTCATCGTCATACTAAGTATAACCACCTTTATGGTGGTGGTGGTCGCCATCACAATCACTCAGAAAGCCGACACCATCTGGAAATCGTTGCTAGTTTCTCTCAGCTGTCTCCCAAATACGCGTACCTCGTTGGTAAGAAAAGCCGGAGAGATGTCACATTCGATTCGATGCTATATGCGCCTATAGTAAGATCCTATCCTCCAGACGGATACCCAGAACAGACTGGGCGCAAGAAGGCACTTTGTGTGAATGGACTTTTCCTCTTCTTGTGATTGATGCGAGAGCGCTAATCAACTATAACGTAGATTGGTATCAACTATTTGGAGTATCCCCGAGTGCGCGCACAGCTCTCGGGCTGTATCAAAGACGCCCTACGGCTCAACGACTTCTTATTAAGTATATGTTGTTCATCAGGACTGATAGCAGCATGATAATGACCAACTCTATTCCTCAGACCACTGGCGCTCAGGTGTCCAGAGTGCGATAGAGATCAAGATTCTCAAAGATGATAGCAAGAAAGCCGACCAAATACCTACCAGGAACAACATTATCAAGGCTATGCGCTGGCTTGTCAAGGATGCACTTCCAGGCGATTCGTTAGTCTTTCATTGTACGGCTTCGCTTTCCCTCTTCAGTTGTGTTCTGAGTATTTCCCTTACTTCCAGATTCTGGACATGGCGGTCAGATACTAGACACGAACGGTGATGAGGACGATGGATATGATGAAGGTATCCTCTTTGTAATGTTTAGTTTGTCGAAACATTCTCTGATATCCTTTCTTTAGTCATTTACCCTGTTGATGGTGGTTATATTCTGGATGATGTAAGTGTCGTTCCTATTACTATGCGTATTTCCCGGTTTCGATTTTTCTCTCTCAAAGGACATGCACGACATGATGGTCAAGCCCCTCCCTCCGGGCTGCCGGCTTATGGTACGTCTCACAAACGACTACACCCCGAGTATGTACCTGACTAGTGCATTATTGTATCAGGCGATTTTTGATGCAAGTTTCGAATACACGCTAAGTTTACGTTTCACGCTAACCTTGGATTTGACAGTGTTGTAGTTCAGGGAGCGCTTTGGGTAAGCTATTCCAAGTTAGCTATCAGTTATTCCTGGTTCTTATTGCACTTGCTTTATGCCAGATCTACCTTATGTCTGGGTACCGCATTTTCGATGTACTTTGCAGCTGCACCTGATAGTCCTGTGTGTTACAGCGCAAATCCAGAGGTTTATCCCCAGACGGATCCGTCACGAAGAAGTGGATTGGGCGTAAATCGACCTCCGCCGACGTTGTAAGTCTCTTGTATCTAGTTTTTCTCTCCGTAAGGAAGTGCATGGGGACACATAGATATCCTTTTCCAGCGCCAAAGATAACCGGACAAGCAAGGACACACCGCAAGGAGGTGCCATGACCAACGTGAGTTCCTAACATCCATGGCATAAGAGGCTTATCCCTGTAAAGGCCTTCATATCATCCCTTAGGTATAGCCGATATCCGACATACAAAGAGCTTTTCTACTCAATCAGGTTGAGTTTCGGGCTATTGATTGTGGAGAATCGTATTCAATCTCTCTTTTGTTGTTCAGGGATATCATGAAGGAGCAGTACGGGCAGACACCGCAAATATGTTGTTCCGATTATATCGTGAGTCTATGTCCCACCGTTTTTCCTGTCGTGCGCTTCGTTAACATCTGATCATAGGACACAGACCGGACGTTCCTTCTGTGAGCAAGAAACTGCGAGTCGACTAAGAATCGACGAATTTCAAGTTCTTGTACATTATGCATAACCTATTTTTTGAAAATTACCGGAACTGGCAAGGAAACAGTGACACGCGACGCGTCTAATTAAGAAGTTGACGCGCTCTAGTCACA